TATTAGAAACACCAATCAAGCAGAACACAGCAAACTCCAAGACCAATAAACACAGACCAAGACTCCCAACCAATCAGGATGAAGAAAAAACCATTCTGGCACAGCAGTAGGCTAGCCCCAAATTTAAAACTGAAACAACTGTAAAAGTCTGATTCACAGACGAACACAATACAGAAGCCTGATGAGGGCAGATGAGATTCTGCCGAAACGTTGCTACAACTTTAAAAGCACAACTACAATGACGTGGGAAAATACCCGAACAAAGCTGAATACCATACATGTAAGTACCCGCGATAACTTAAGAAAACATATATGTATGTATGTATGTGTATGTATGTGTGTGTGTGTGTGTGTATTATTTTATTATTTTATTTTTAGTCAGCCAGATGTACACATTGGATTTGGTATTTATTTCCACCTCTTGAGTCCTTCCTAAAGACCTGGAATAGGCAGATGTGCATGTTTGAGGGAACTAAAGATCTTGTCGCGGGATGTCAGCTGTTGCGAGCAAAGTTGCCTTTTCCAATTGACTGATGGGGAATTTGTCATTGCCGAAGATGTTCAAAGGATCCACCAGGTGTTTTGACATTTCACCCAAGGCGCCGATCACTCTTGGTCCTATCTTTGCTTTTTTCGGCCACAAATCGTTCCATTTCTCCTTTCAGATCCTTGTATTTTGTCACCTCAGCTAACTGCCCCGTCTACTATCTTTTTATTTTGTTTGAATTTAGGATTTTATTGATTTATTCCATTTTATATCGCTGCCCATTTCACTAAAAGCCAAGTCCCTTTTGTAAATCACATTCTTTTTCGGTGCCGTGGTAACTTCGAATCAATGGTTGTAAGTTCAGGACTACTTGTGCTTTTTTTTTTTGTTTTTTGTTTTAAACTATAAGAATCTGAGGCTCAGAAAAATCTCCTTCAAAGCAGATGCAGCTGGATTAAAACATCTGTTTTTTTTTAATGCCAACCTTTTGCTGACGGGCTTTGGATGCCAGAAAGAAATCCAAGCAATTGATACTGGGGTGGGAAGCCACTTCTCACTACAGATGTCGGAGATGTTCCGTTTATATTTGGAAAAATTGACTCAAGACACTCTGAGCCAGCTGTGCTATTGGAAAAGCTGAATACCGTATGCAAAAATGTCTATATCTATCCATCTGTCTGTCTGTCTGTCTATCTATCTATCTATCTATCTATCTATCTATCTATCTATCTATCTATCTATCAGAATCTCATGTCTATACATGAGAATAGAATAAGGGAAGTTGAAGATCCGAATTGTGCTGATGTCTTATTGCTGAGTTTCATTCGTCTGAAATGGTATAGGGTCTCCTGTTTGGGCAGGGCGAGGTTGGACTAGAAGACCTCTTAAGATCCCTTCCCACTGTTATTCTGTTAACTTTTTCTTATTTGTTTGACGGCTGCTGATTGTACGGTGTGTGGGTTTTTTTTTTTTTGCATCTTTGTTGTTGTTTTTTAACGCCGCGCTTTCACAATTGTCAGCCAGCCAGAGGGAGGGAGAGAGAGGCATGGATCAATGGAGACATTCAACAAAAGAAGTGGTGTTTTGTGTCGTGTTGTGTTGTGTTGAAAAGGGATGGCGATTTGCTGAGGGAAGAGTAAAGAATTAAAATAGCCGTTTCGGAGCTGGGACGGTGAGCTCTTGGGGATGTTTTCTAAGGACTAATCCAGGGGCGGGCTTCCAAAAATGTGAGCGAGGGATTCTCTGAGGGGTCGCTGGGTGGGCGTGGCCTAGTCAGCCTCCTGCACCACGGTCAGGGGAGGGGCGTTTTTGCCCTCCCCGGGCTCCGGAGGCTTTCCTCAGGCCTCCGGGAGGGTAAAAATGGGCTCCCCGGGCTCTGGAGGCTCTCTGGAAGTTGGAAACGGGCCCATTTCCAGCCTTCCCGAGCTTCCAGGAGGCCCGTTTTTCAGCCTCCCTGATCCTCCCTGTGCGCCCTGCATTGACCTGCATCCAAAACAGGCCATGTGGGGACTCCGGGGAGGGGAGGGATGGGTGGGTGGGTAGGGCCAGCCAGGAGTGGGATTTGGGGGCGGGGTCTCCAAACTGCACAGAATCTTAGCTAGGGGCTCTCACAACCCCCCTGCGAACCCCCGGCAGCCCAGCCTTGGACTAATCTTAGCTAAATGCATAGATTGAAGGAGGGATTTTGGGGGTGGGTGGGAGGTGGGGACTTTGCCCCCAAAGCCTGGCCCTCTTTGCTGTCCTCTTTTACCTTCTCTGCTCCTTTTTGACCCCCCCCTCCCCAAACTCAAAAGGGGATCAAAAAAAGGGAGGATGTGTGTCGAAATATGGATCAGGGTGTCTCTGAGCATGTCGTGATCGGTTTCTTCCTTTAACAGCCCAGATTAGATCAAAGGTTGGTGGGGAGGGGTCTTCTGCTCTCTGGCCCCACTATTGGGGGGTGGGTGGGTTGAGAATCTAAGCCATGAGGCAGAGTGTGTGGTGTGGAGATTAGTAGGAAATGTGGTTGAATATGCGGTAGCACCTGGGCTGTTTTGATCTGGGGTGGTGTTGATCTTTTACTGCTGTCCAGAGACGTTGTGAGATGGAGGGAACGGAGGGAGGAAAGAAGGAGGAAAGAAAGATAAAAAGAGAGGGAGGGACAAAAGGAAAGGAGGAAGAAAAGAAAGAGAGAAGGAAGGAGGGAGGAAAGAAAGAAAGAGGCAAGGAGTTAGGAAGGAAGGAAGGAAGAGGAGGACGAATAGATAAAGAGGAAAGGTGAGGCAGGGAAGGAAGGAAGGAGGGAAAGATAAAGTGATAAATAAAGAGGAAAAGAAAGACAAAGAAGGAAAGGGGAGGAAGACAGAAAGGAAGGACAGAGAGAGATAAAAATAAAAGAGAGGGAGGAAAGAAATGAGAGACTGGAGGAAGAAAGGAAGGAGAGAAGGAGGTAGGGATGGAAGAGAAGAAAAGAAAGCAAGGAAGAAAAGGAAGAGGAAGTTGAAAGAAAGATAAAAAAGAGGAAGGATGGAAAGAGAGAAAGAAGAAAGGAGAGAGGGGGGAGGTGAGAAAGGAAGGAAGAGAAAAAGGAAAGAGAGACAGGCGGAAAGAGGAAGAAGGAAGAAGATGGGTGGGTAGGAGGCTCCTGAAGGAATCTGGTTAGGGAAGATACTAGAAAACGTGGATTTTTTCTCTCTCCCTTTTTGCTCCATTCACAAGACCCTCCAACTCACAAACCTTCTCCTTTCTCTCTGCTGCAGGTTCTGACCCGGTTCCAGAGGACCTGTGAGCCCCGGTGAGGTGGGCAGGCAGCCCAGCCGAGGTCAGAGTCCCCTGCCCAGCCCTCAGCATGAATCCCAGTTCTCCGGTGTGTCTGGTCATCCCCATTGCCAGCCTCCTCTCCTGGCTCATGACCGGCTGCGCCACCGAAAGTAAGTCTTGAACATGGCACCCGCTCCCGATTTGGCAAAAACCGGAGCTCACGGGCACGTTTTTCTGGTCTGTCCTCGTCTGGCTGGGCAGCTGGATGCGTTAGCGGGGAAGACACTCTGCACATGTTCAAGGTGCTCTTGTCCTCTGAGAAGAGGATCTGACATAGGCTTCACAAACTCAAAATCCCGCAAACAGTCTTTCGAGAGTGATTTACAATACAGACCTCATCAGGCTTGGAGAGTTGCCAGGCCGATAGCTTCCAAACGCCATGCTGTAGCAGCAATTACTTGGCAAGAAGTCAGGGACAGATCTTCAGCCTAACGAACTGACCTAATTGTCTCCTGCAAAACCCCACTCCCCTTTCGCTCCTTTTTATTCCCTATGGCGGGGGGGGGGGCATTCACCGTCCTCCTGTGCCTTTACTCCCGAGTCGACCTTTGTTCCTTAGCTGTTCCCTTCTCCTGGCAGCTCTGTGCATGCACACACTGGGAACAGGCTCCACCTGTTCTTCTTCCCTACTGATCTCCGACTCCGAAGGCAGCTGATAACTGTCGGAGGGCCCTGGCCCCATCTCTGCCTCCGACGCAGAGCCCTCGTCTGAGCCTTCCCCAGACTCCAGGACTGGCCCAGGTTCCTCCCCAACCTCCTCGCGGTTTGAGTCTGCCACCAGCTCCGCTGACCACGGGCGGGCCATACCACAGAGCCTCTTTTTTTAATGTAAATTTTTATTTTTAATATAATAATTCCATCTTCGGTTGAACAATGCGTCATCCAGGTACAAATATCTTTGTAGAATAATAATCAAATTTTACAGTGTTGTTCGTTACCTTAGTATGAATTCTACCACCTTAAAATAATAATATTCAACATACTAGTCAGAATATCGGCCTCTCTCTCTTACCTGTTTTCTTTATTTTGTTTCCCTGTTTCTAACTTCCATTTTTATTAATTAGCCATCGATAAAATAAAACCCATGTCATGACAGTATTCAGTTTGCTCTTTCTCCTTTAATGGCAAGCGTTAAAAGTCTATTCATTTCTGCACACTCTCATATTTTCCGAATCCCATTCTCATCTGTGGGGTGTCTCTTCACTCTTCCAGTTTTGTGCAAATACAATTTTAGCGGCAGTTATACAGGGGTGAGCTTCAGCCGGTTCGTGCTGGTTCGGGCAAATTGGATGTTAATTTTACGGTCGGTTCAATGAACCGGGAGTTCCGCCAACCGGCTGGCCCCGCCCCATCCTGCCCTCATGGCCCGTTTTGCATCCCAGATAAGTGCAGGAGGCGTGCGGAGCCCAGGGAGGTGGAAAATGAGCCCCCCAGAGAGCGAAAACAAGCCTATTTCAGGCCTCCAGAGAGCCTCTGTAGCCCAGGGAGGTGGAAAACCGGCCCTGCACAGCCCATTTTCGCTCCCAGGACGTTGCAGGCCACGCCCACCATGGCCACGCCCACCCAGCAATTTGGCGGAGAACCAGTTGCTAAATTATTTGAAGCCCGCCGCTGGGCAGCTAATAAATAAATAATTAAATGTGCATTTCCCTGACTAGATTTTTCGGATAAAATCCCCATATCCTGGCTTTAAATCAATATGCTGCTTTTTTAATCATTTTTTTTT